ATCTGCCATACTGGATCTTGCAGAAGTGGCCTACCTCTCAGATTACTCGTCGTAGTACATTCATTACAGTAGCTAAGATAACACACACGGGCTTTCTTTCAAGCATTTGATTCAGAATATGTAGATTCTTTGTCTCCTGGAAACATCAAATTGTAGTCCAAGGAGTTCCTTTTTTTCCTCTGAATGAAAAGAGGTACCATGGATGTCCTTTTAAGAGAAAAATAAAATCCTTCCCTCATAAATCACCAGTTTGTGAACATCCTGTCTTGATACAGTAGCACATCAGTAGATTGTATGGTTTAATTTTGAACTATCTGATGCTTTTAAATGACAAGCACAGGTATTTCCAGGGAGTAATTGGTGATATTTGCGTTATCATCCTGGAGTGTGGTTCTTCTCCTTTGCCACGTATACGTAGATAAAATCTGATAGTAATAGATTTGGTTTTACCTCATGGTCCCATTATGAACTGTAACCTGATACTAGGTTGATGTATTTTTCTCAATCATATAGTAAAGATTATTTACAATTACTACTATGCAGCACAGTTTGGTGCTCATAAAGCAGTTCTTACAAGCTGCAGCTAATCGATAAAGACACTGCCCTCCTAAAGCTTGGAGCATTAGAGCTGGTCTTTGACCTATAATTTCCTGGATTTGATTCTGTTATGTTTTCTTCCTAAAAATCACATGTGTTTTAAACACCTAGTTTTAAACATTGAAGTGGGAGGGAATGTGAATTTGAGTTCATATATAGGCTGATGCGTCTTACACCAAAACCAGACGTACGTGTCCCTGCCACCAGGTGAGGAAGTGGGGGAGGTGGGGCAGGGACAATCCTGAGGGGTGAGCCAGCAGATGAGATTATCAAAAATGATAGCTACAGCCCTCTGTTTGTAAGAACTATGAAAATTCTAGCCCTAACTGTATGGGAAATGTGTCTGGGATGCGCTTTAGTAACTCGCTTTGGGAAGTTTTAGATGTATTTTCAACAGATTAATATTGAATTGTACTTATAATACAAAACACGGTTTATAATTCATAAGCACATTTAATACTTCTCTGATCAGGCTCCATCTGATAAGTATGAAACTTGGCAAAACTTAAGAAGGAGGTATTTTGTTTTAAAATATTCAGCGAGTTCAACCTGCTTCTGGAATGTTGTGTTGTTGTCCTATCTGTCAAAAGAGAGGGGGGTGGACTGCACATCTGGAGGCAAAGTCAAGCAAAGAGCTAATAATTAATTACCTCCTACACCAGTAAATATACGTTTGTGAAGAAAAACGTTTAGGTCACATTCTTTCTTGCTTTGCAAAATTGCTAAATCATAATCTTTAGAAAATGAAGCCATAAGAAATGCTTGCATGAGAGCAGACCTAGAAGAAACCCAAAAATTAGTAATAGAGCTGTTTCTGCCTAAACTCAACAAAAGTGAGGCATCAAAATTAAACATATTGATAGGTTCAGAAGTTTTGAAAGAGGTTAACTGGCTGAGTTTTTTACAAATGAGAACAAGAAACTGAAACGGTTTGTAGGTTGGCTGTGTGTGCAGCTGATATTTGTCAATTACGTTTTCCTCTGCTGTAATTTCTACACTAACATGGGCTTTTTTGTTATTTAACTATATAAATCATCGCTATTAAAAAGAATTTAACGACTTGAAGCAAGGTAGCATTTTTGCCTTCAAATGATCTTCATGTGGAACAAGGCTACGCAGCCTGTCTCTTGGGATCAGGTATGTCTCCAGTTGCGACAGAAAAATGAGTAACTCTGGCACACCCTGTGACAAAGCTAGTATTGAGTGGAATGAGATAATGATGCTGAGTGTCTGAATTTAGTGTTTCATAAGGTTATATGCATCTTTTTATTTAAGAATATTCGAGAATCATTTCAGCAAATGAATGGGTGGTAGCATTCATACATACTGTTTGCAATAGGATTTGTTTTCTGTACTATTTAAGTCTTGCTTTAGAGATGAATACATAAAAATAGACAAGTAGGTTCTTGCTGACATTTTTACCCTTGTTTAACTTACTGAATGCTTATATTTTAAGTTTTACTGCCAGGTATTTCCAGATTTTGACACTTTCATATTTTATCTACATAACAAATTTTCTTTTATAAACTGTTCTATCATTCTTTAAACATTCCCCTAAGCGGGAGGACCATCAGCTTTTCTTAATAAGGTTTTTGGCAGTAGTATTCATGCTTGATTTTTAATGCCTTTCTAAGGTTAAGCATAATTGTACTGAGGTGGAATCTGCTAAGGGAGGAAGGAAGCAAGCAAGCACCAAATGTGTCAGAAAAATCAAAATCTTCCTGGCAGTGCATCTTTAACTGTCAGGACTAAAAAGTATCTTAACTGTAGTCATCATTCTAAGATGTAACTGAGATAATGTTTATTTGTCCATGAGATTTCTGGAGTAGTTAGCTGAGTTGTGTTGTTAATGTAGTTTTAATTAGTACAGACAGTCTGCTAATGCTGCAAGTCGTTAGATCACATAGCCTGAGAAAAATATGTTCTGAGCAACTTGAAAAGCCTAAGGGGTAGAGGAGACAGTTATTTCTAAATCCAGATTCAGTGCCAAATATTACTTTATTATTGTGCATATTGGTGTCTTTAGGAGAACTGCTTGCTCAGTATATGTAAATTATGTCTTTTTTTACGTAGTCATGTTAGAGTGCCCAGCTTTTAGACAGGAACTTGGTGGTGTAGATTCTGAGTGTGTTCATTCTGGAAGAGCATTTGAGGAGAAAGTCTACAGACTAGTTTTGGCCTCAATGAAGTTAATTAACTAGAAATACATTTCTGACATTTCAGCAAGTATATTAATGTAATTTTTGGGGAGAATGTTCAATGGGATTTGGGAGAGGTATGTATTTGATCCTACTTTTGAGTCCTGCTGGAATCCTGTATCTGATTCTGGTATCCACAGTTCAAGGTCACTTAAAAAAATTGGAGAACTTGGACAGTGATCACAAGATGAAATATGATTTGACAGAAAGATATAAAGACCAAAACTGGCTTTCTGGCAAGGAATTTACTGGTTTTCTTTTTCTCATTATAACCTTCCACCATCACAGAGTCTATTAATAATCAAGCTAGCAAGCTTAAAGCTAGTTCAGTTATGTCTGTGCAAACCATAGCTACATCTTGAATTGTCTACATCACATTTGAAGTGCAATTTATTATTCTTCTCTTATAATAAACAAGAAATGTTTCTTTTAGA